TAAAAAATGGAAAAATTCCTAAATAGTTAAGAATTTATGGTACCACTTTGCCGAGATGTTCACTATTGTCACTATTTACTTACTATTACTATTTTTTGTTTTATTTTATTTATTTGCTTTTGTACTGTATTCAAAAACAATGCTGACAGATTGATGTGATGTGGAGATTATATGTATAAGTATTTCGCATTGTAAAGCTTCAAATATGAATAAAATATTTTGTTAAAAAAAAAAAATATCATTGTGGTTGAAGAGCTTCTACATACTGGTGTAATAACCATTACACAAACAAAAGAAATGAATTTGGTAATTACCAATGCTGTTAATTTAGTGCATAAATCTCACATTGGGTGGTTGTCTAGTAAATTTGTTAAGCACTGTATGTTAGATGCATGGAGACAAAAAAAAAATCTCTTTGGCTTAAAAGACATTTTCAGGTTTATCCATTCATTTAGGTGGCTTGAGTCTATCCCAGTTGACAGGTACACCCTGAACGGGTCGCCACGAAGGGACAAACAACTATGCAGATTCGAGCTCACACCTACAGCAAATGAAGAATCACCAACTAACCTAACAGGCATGTCTTTGGACTGCAAACTCTGCAAACTCCACACAGAATCCAGCAGGTTCAAGATCTGATGATGCTAAACGCTGCAGCACAGTGCTAACCATGTTACAGCTGCTCAGGAAACCCTGAACCATCGCTTATGGTTACGCTGCTACAGACTGCTGAAGGACTCCTCAATGACTCCTCTCCATACATTTTTGTGCCACAATTGCATATCACAAACGTTGGGCCTTGTTCTCCTGTAGTTTGTGTTTTGTCCTCTCTGCAGGCTGCAAAGCTACATGTTTCTGATCTGTGGTTACTCGCCACACTGACCTCCCTGGTGCTTATCTTTTTTCTATCTGCTATCGTTTTTTCTCTCCCCTTAACCCCAACAGGTCGAGGCAGACGGCCGCCCTCCCTGAGCCTGGTTCTGCTGGAGGTTTCTTTCTGTTAAAGGGGCATTTTTTTTCCTACTCTTGCCAAAGAGCTGCAAAAAAGGGATTTGTTGGGATTCTTTTTCCATTACTGTAAGACGTGACTTTAGTTGTGAATTGGCTCTACATAGATAAAGATGAATTGTGCTAAATTAATTAATTTCATCCACCAGAGCTGCCGAAGCCTGTTGGCAGCTGCCTCTGAAAGAGAATGTTCATTGACACGTTGTCCATTTTGCTGACGATAAAACACTTGCATTAGTGCCCACTCTGTATCAAGAGGGCACTAATCCCACTCATCCCTTTCAACGCAGACCAACTGTAAACACTACTCGACACACGTGCGAAGCTAAAAACCCCGCACAAGGATAACTCTTCATCCCACAGCCAATCAGTCGGAAGTGATTCAGTTCCTTGCGGGCACAGAGGAATCACCCTGAAACCGACATCCGTGGCAGCAGAGAGAACGTGGCCAGATTTTTTTTTTTGTGTGTGATCACAACAAAATTTCGCGTCGTGTAGGAAGCATGTAGGACCGCTGTTTATTGTGTTCCGTCCAATTGAGTTGAGCAAGACTGCAAGTTACTTTTGTGACTGTGAACGTGGTATCCCCTTATAGTGCTCGGAGCCCAGGCTGCCTCCGTCTGTGAACACACTCCCTCCCACATACAGTTTGTCAGTGACGTGTAGGCGGGTGTCAATACACTTTTATGAGAAATAACCAAGTCTGCCGCAAATGTGACGTATGCCACAGATGGCACTGTCTCTTCGTCACAAGATGCATCCTAGCTGTTGCCCACCGCGACGAAGCCTGCGTGCCAGTGAGAAAGTGCATCAGCCAGGTTATGTTTCATGCTAAACTGAACCAGTGACAGCTGATACATTAGACTGTACAAATGCATGTATGAAGGCTGGTATGAGGGGTACGGCCTGCCAACGTTATGTCAGCCAGAAAATCCAAATCTGTGCAGAGGTGGCAGGTCCGGGCGCTCACATGTTTGGGTGGCGCTGAGGTGTGGCGACCCCTTTTCCATCTTTAACCTGTTAATGTACGCAAACAGTAGATATTAGCGTCAACACGGGCATTAGGGGGTGACAAATAAGCAGCTGATGATTTATTGGAAAGCATTAGGTGCCATTTGGGAGATAATCTGATATCTTCCTATGTTAATAACGGCTAAAACCTAAAACCTAGAGCTCTATCTTAAGACATTCGCACAGCTGATTCAAAAGTCAGCTCCGATGGTGGCTGGTTGGGTTCGTCAAATGCCAAAAAACTCATTGTAATAAAAACAGTAAAAAAATAGTTGGTAGCACCGTTGCCTCGCAGCAAGAAGGTCGCCGGTTCACGTCCCGGTGAGGACACCTGGGATCTTTCTGCGTGGAGTTTGCATGTTCTCCCCGTGCAGCGTGGGTTCTCTCCGGGTTCTCCGGCTTCCTCCCACACAGTCCAAAAACATGTTGAGGTTAATTGGTGATTCTAAATTGTCCGTAGGTGTGAATGTGAGTGTGCTTGGTTGTCTGTCTCTAAGTGTGGCCCTGTGATAGACTGGTGACCTGTCCAGGGTGCCCCCTGTCTTCACCCTAAGTCAGCTGGGATAGGCTCCAGCCCCCGGTGACCCTGGTGAGGATTAAGCAGTGTATAGATGATGGATTGATGGATGTTACATTTTTCGTAGGTGATGTGAAGAAATCCTGAAGCTAAATTAAGATCTTATGTGCCACAGTGAACTGAATCATCCACCCAGGTTGTATTTTTAGTTAAAAACAATTCACACACCAGAAAATATCATCTGCTCTGTTTCATTATTCTTTTTCATCCAAGTGATGTCATGAGGGACCAACAAGGGACATCTTCACTGTTCACACTTCATTTTCTAAACCACTGCTGAGATATTTTTTTTGCAATGCTTTAATAGTTCAAAAGGATTTTTTCTCAGCATCTTGCTCTAAACTTCTTAAAAGGTCACACAGGAAGTGTGACCTGAATTCACCCACGGGTGTAAGCTCTTGGGGGTATAGGACGCCCCCCTTTTGTGACTCCAGCCTTCCTTTTGATCAATGATGTTTTCTAACCGCTACAAATATGGTAATCGGAAACGGAATATCTTCGTCAGCGACTACGAGCACCACTTCACACCTTGAACTACACTCCCGCTCGGCTCCTCATCTGTTGCTGATGATTATAAGTGCATTTCAAAGCACTCTGAAATGAAATGGTAGCCTGAGTAAATGTCATCAAATGCCATGTTGCATAAATTGGTTTGGATTATTTAGTCCTGAAGAGCTGTTTAAATCTCACCGATAAAAACGCTGTGTTTTCTAAACGTTACTTCGAATGGCCAGCAGTTTGCACCACATTAAAATTGATTGAGTGGAAATTAATCGCTTTGGCATATGGTGCTGTAAAAACTAGGTTACCCCCCATTCCAAAACACTGATAATGACTGCCTTGAATAAAAACTCACGTCTCAGCCATTTATATTCAATACTTCACACCATTTCATTTAGACAAAACCTCTTCCTGGATTTATCTGACAATGGACTAATGCAACATCCATTTAAAAAACATTGACTTCTCTTTTACAAGAATGTATCAGCATAGTCAAGGGCCATTGTTTTCAATATGCACAGTTGATAATCCTTTTCCTACATCAGCAGGTCTTCTCCCAGGCAGTCAATCGGAAGTGAGTCAGTCCTTCCATCTTTCCACTTGTTGGCTTATACATAAGTGATGAATAACACTCTACGTGCACTCACACCGTCAGAACAGTCACCATCTACAGGTACACTACCCCTCCGTTCTGATTTCCACATAAAGTGAAGTCTTTAAAAATGTGTAGATAAAAAAAAAACACAATGCTCTCCTTTACATCCTTGATGCCAATGCTCCTTGGATGGAGCTAAATCTCCCACCATCTGCGAACACATTCCCTCCCACATGCTGCTTGTCAGTGTAGGCGGGTGTCAACATTCTGTATAAACTCATGGAAATTTCTCTAACCAAAACGTGACATATGCCACAGATGGTGCTGGCTCTCCGTCAGCAGGTACAGTCTCGGCAATACCTTCTACACTATCGGTGTGTCAAATGATATACCGTCATTCAGGCAGTCTTCACTGCATTCTAACCAACATTCTCTAAGAATGCAACAGGTGAGATGTTGCTTTATTTGTCTGATGACAAACCACGTCATTGTACTTTTAAATCATTTTGTCCAACTCATGAAGCACAAACGCTTTGGAGACAACTACACACCAACATCCATCAGAGACTGAAGTTCTGTGTATTTCAGCACAATAGTTGGTCAGAAACGGGTCAAGCATGTGATGATGAGTCTGTGCTGAGTGAGCAGATTAGCCTACTTGTGCCAAAGCACACGTCAAATTTGTTAAGTGCCATTTGCATTTTACAGCATAGAAAGAGCCTCACAAAGGAAAACTTTCTACAAAAACAATCACAACCAGCACGATGCTGGGTATGTGCTGCCCTCTGCAGGCTTCAACAGGCATCATTCAAGGTGTAGCTCAGCCTTTATTAAACAGACCAAACCACACAGATGGATTAAATAACTACTTAGTAAAACACAACAGGCTGATTTTTATTCAATAACAACAGAACTTTGAGGGAATATGATTAATTTATTTTCCAATAAACATGTACAAAAAGTCACAACATTCAAGGGAGCACTCCATTGTGTTAACAGTATTTTCACAAATTCATGAAAAGCTAAACAAGAGCACGAGCCTAAGATACCATCTCTTATCTGCTTCTCTGTACATCACTCAAGTCTGATCTCTAAGTGATGACTAAATAGCCAAGTGTCCTAATAAGAGAAGCAAGAACTGTATAAATGCAAACTCTGTATTTAAGTCAAGCATAAAACTGAGGTTTTGTAGCGTCAGTGTTTTGTGTGATACTGTGATTGATATCTTAAACGTTGGACAGTTAAATCTAGTTAAATGACTAACACCAGATTATGGTTGTTGATGGATCAGGAGTTGTTTGTAAAGTTCTAAAGGTCAGTAGTGACCACAGGAGTGACTCCATGAACAAGTAATGTCGGGCCAAGGTCTCGACTCAACAGGTCCACCTGATGCAGGTAGGCATGGTAACGGCTTGTGTCTGCTGGAGGGCTCGGCAAATACAGGAAACGCACGGCTGGCTGAGGAGCACCATGTCCGCAAATCAGATTGTTGACAGCACAGATATACTGATCTGTGAGGTGAGAAGCATTGTTTGGAAACGTTTGGGTTCTATGTTCCTTCTCACCATCCTCATGTCTCTTTGTTCTCTCATTCTGTGCGGACTCCATCAGATTCCCTCTTCCTCCTCGTCTCTGCCAGTGCAGTGCCACCACATGGTCCCAAGGAACCATCTGCACTTGAGCTGCGATCCTCAGTTCCTTGAGCATCATCCGGAGCTTCTTCTCCTCCTCCTCTTCCTGCAAACTGCACCCAGCCTCCACACACAGGAAGAGGCGGAGTCTCGCCTGGTTCCAGGCTCGGGTCTCATGAAGTACGCAGGCCAGCTGCAGCAGGAACAATGAGCAGATGTCAACATAACCACGGCTGTCTGGCTGAAGCAGATTCAGAGGCCACACATCTATGAATGGCCCCGTCACCTTTCGGTGGCCTCCGATCTTTTTTCCAGACCCTAAGACTTCCTCCCGGTTGAATTGGTTAAAATAACGAGCCAGTGTCACATTCTTTCCCATTTTTACAGCATCGGCAATCACTGATACAAATTCCTCGGCGTCGAGGTCTTTGGGTCCCTCAGCGTCCCGTACACTAGGAAAGAAGAGGGAGCATTGCTCCTCAGGGTCTGTGGTTGAACAGACTGTCTCTAACCTTTGGGCTGCAGACAGGAGAATTTGACCTGGAAGGTGATCTTGAGGGGAGCAGTCATCATAGAAACCCAACACAAGGGTGTTCGGTCTCATCCCACCTGGATGCAAACAAGTGTAAGAAATGTGTGCTGTTAGGTTTGTAACTGTAAGACATAAGCACAGGTCAAGGATGGAAAACTGACCAGATCATGCAGCATTCAGATAAATCTGCCTACCAAAGCCTGAGATGAAAAGCAGATTCTGAACTCCGTGTCGGACAGAGTCAGCCAGGGTCAGGTTGACGAATGCCTTGATTTTTAAATGATCCACTAAAGACAGCCAGGCGTCGTAACAGCTCTGCAAAGGATCAAAGGGCAACTCATCTGCAGATCACACAAAAAACACACAAAGACTTGAGACTTCTAACAGGGAAAGAGAACCACCTCATTCTCATTCAGTGTGTGGATGTTTTGAGTTACCAATGAAACAGAGTTCCACTGCCGGGCAAAGTGTACAGGGGTGTATTTTGATTAAAGTATGAATGACTGGAGCGTTCTAAATAAGGTTGGTTCAGTTGGAATTATGCATCTCTGAACATCTCTGCCAGAGAATTTGGAACCTGTAGAAAAGCTTTTTTTTCATTTTCTCACTTTTTAGTCTTGTTGCAAAATCTCAACATTACAACTCCCTGCATATGAACTCAATACCATAGCTGTTGTTCTTCTTAAAGTCTGTAACTGCCAAGTTTTAAACATCCCCTTTTAAAGTTCTTAGTAGCTGAGTATGTACACCTAAAACGCTGTCTCTTGCCTACTCAGCTCTTACCCAGCACACCCAGCTTTACATGTCCCAGCACATAGAGGCCACTCTTCTTCAGGTCATTAATGAACGTCATGAGACCCGTTGAGCTCCGAGGCTTTGCAACCATCAGCAGCACCTGGGGCCTCCAGAACTTCACATGGTCCTTGCGCACGTCCAACATCAACAAGTACTTGCGTACCTAAGTGAATAAAAGATGGGGTGAAACGAATAAAAGTAGCAAAAACAAGTAATTCACGCAGACTTGTGCCACCAAATCGCTGTTTGCGTACCTGGTGGTAGATGAGTGCCTGGCTGATGTAGCCCCATTTGCTGATGGGCCCCAGATAGTGAATAAGCATCAAGAGCAGCAGCATGAAGGCGATGCTGACAAAGGCGTAAACGGCACTGATTAAGAACATCATGACCAGGCAGCCGAGGATGCCCAGAGTGCAGGTATGCCATGTGAAACAATAGAAGGAGGGTCTGTATTGTAAAAAAATAAAGAAAAGACAGAATGAGCTTCATAATAACGATTATGTGAATAAAATTAAAAACAGAACACCTAAATGAGTGTCATATCCTACGCTGTACCTGAAGTTTGGTGCAGAAGCCCACTCCAGAGCCAAACAGGCCAGGTTCACAGCAGCATAGACCAACAAGAAGAAGATGGTTACGACACCAGCAATGGTGTTCAATTTACCAGCAAACAGCACCACCTAGTGGAGGAATACACACATTAATTTGTCAGCTTCCATGACATTCAAAACACCTGTTAAGGATATAATAATAATAAAAAGGCCAAAATCACTAACTTTTGTTGATTTTTTTGTTGGTCACTAATGCTGATTAGTTCACAAAGGCAACAATTCTAGCAAGTGAGCAGGTGTCGGCACAAACACTACTTTAGTAACTGAGAACCATGCGTACAAACAATATAATTCACTAGATCTATATTACATGAGTATCTCCAGACCCCTAGAAGTCTCTTCACCCTATACAACCCATCATGTTAAACAACTTGATTTAAATTAGAGCCACACTGTGTCCATGTCTTTGCTGAAAAGTTTAAGAAACATTAAACCTAACAAACCTCGCTATCTCCACAACATACTGACACTAAGAGGCATGGTGGTGAAATGACAAATTCACTCACTGGTATAGCAGGACAACATTCTGCTCCGTCTCCCTTCAAGCTTTCAGTCCTCTTCTTTTGACAAACGTTAAGACAAACTGAATCGAAAACAATTACGCTCAAAATATTCTCCACCACTGAGAGGTGGGTAAAGGATCAATAGATCGACGAGTAGTTGCAACATTCAGTATAATGTCAACGGTGATGTAATTTCACACATTTTGTCGATTTTATTGTCTTCACTGCTAACTAGGCAGAATGTAAAAGGAAATACAAAAAAATTATTTGGGTGTGGAAGGCTGTTTTATGTTTAAACATCCAGTTTAATGTGGCATCTCTGCCTTTTTTTTGGGTGCTTCTTCTCTAGGTATTTATAAGGGTAATGGATTATTTTTTTTTTTTAACATGCAATGGTGAAAAATATCTGTTTGGAGGCTGACGACACTTACACAGGCAGACCTGTCTCCGTAGCGCTGTGTCAGCACTGGAGAACACTATAGCTGCACCTCATTATCATTCTGTTACAGAGGAAGAAAGTGCTCTGGCATGTCATTAAACCCACCACAAACGTCTTGGGTGGCGCTGTGGCCATGATGCGGTCACAGTGTTCCTACAAAATAATGATGGGGAAACTGTTTGGGTGGAATGTTTAGAGAACTGTCATTAAAATGGTTAAATCACCAAAAGACCCAAACAGGACTGTCCTGCTGCATGATGAAAATCTTTGTCAACATTTGCCATTTTCAGGTTGGAGGTGGTAAATGTTGTTTCCGGTAGTGAAGGGGATTTTGAAACAGTAAAGCACATACTGGATAATTAGACAAGATAGTAAAAGGGGAGGAAAAAGCCACATGAAACGCGCAGCAGAACCGACAGAGTCATATCTAAAATCTACATCCGCTGAGTCAGACTAGAAGGTGACTAAACAGTCATCATCCGAGTCAACATTCTGAACTGGGTCACTCACGTTACATGTGAAAGTACAATTTAAAAAGAAAAGGTCTGAGGGCCTTATTTGAGAGTAAGAAGCTCAAGCAGAGTCAGTCCAAACCTCATGCACAGAGAAAATAATTCTAACCACTCCTCATACACGAGTAATATCCCACCTGCACAAGCAACCAGGAGACAAGTACCGAGACCCAGGGATTCCCACTCTGAGATGTTTTCTTTGCCAGAGCCAGAACACCACCTGTAGGTTGTTTTTTTTTTGACATTAACAAAAGCAAAGTCTCTCTGTCAGTAATTGCTCATCATTGCAAATCAGATAACAACTGAGTCATCTTGCACTTGTTAAGCCAAACACACAATGAGAGGATTTTTTTCTTCAGAGAAAGTCAACACCGCGAGCCATCTGTTGTCAAACGATGCTTTCCAGATTAACATGTCTGCACAAGGAAAATGAGACATGATGAAATTAACAACAAGTGTCGGTTTCTCACATTGGAGATGGAAGCTCATTTTAACAGATGGCCGATTAATAAAATGTTGACTCAGCTTAAAAGACGACCAGCTGAGTTGGATGTGCTCATGTATGCTCTGGATCACATGTTTAGCCCTGATCTTAATCAAAACAATCAAGATCGGTAATTAAATCCTTTTCCCTACAGGAAAGGTCAAAGGCCGCAATACTTAAAGCCTGTTAATTAAAAAGCAAGCTGCTCTTTGCTATGCAATCGTTTAATGGGAAGCAGGATATTTGCTCAAGAATCTCACCGAACAGGTTGTCTTTGGACAGGGCATACAGTATCCTGGAGGCTCCTATAAGGTTACTCATTGCAGCAGACATGGCGGAGGAGTAGATACCAAGTGTCACCATGGGAGGCCATAGATTGATGTCGCCCAGGAAGCTGTAGTCTCTTTGGAGAAGGTAACTGAAGGGGTGATGGATAAAATTTCAGTCAAACATTTTGAACATAACTGCTTCACTACGGCAGATTAACTGTTGACAGCCGCACTTTATTTTACAAATGACTTGTCAGACAGCAGAAAGTGTTTAAAAACCAGTGACTGTAATATAATCGTGAACTGTGACACTTATAGAAACATTTCAAGCTGACTTGTTCTGGGTGTATTCAAGCATGTCGGATGGTGTGTGTTTGTTTCGTGTGTCTCACCGGTCACAAGACCACGCGGCCAGCAGACTAAGCAGATTGTACGTGATGAAAGATATAAGAACAGCTGCAAGCGTTCCTCTCGGGATGGAATAGCTGGGATTCTTCAGATCACCTGAGATACACAAGTCAAAAAGTCTCTCTTAATCTCAAGTATATTGTCAACTGATAGAGGTTCTGTCAGAGTTCAGCCTTGCCAAAGCGAGAACACCAAATAACATACATGTCTCCTAAAACAAGGGCAAGATCCAGTGAAGATCTGCATTTCTAGACATCACATTTTCTTAAAAATACTGCTGAGGGTTAGCACTTTGAGAGAACGTAACTGATGAATCAGTTGCATTCATCTGTGTCGTGAAATCAATTGTGTGCTTGTCAGTTGTTCCACTGTGCAATCAGATGATCCTCATGGCTCGTGATTCTCTTCTACTCTGAAATACCACGTTGCCATGTTGTATAATTACCAGGTTTCGCTTTCAAATGGTCGCCTTTCATTCACAAATACTTCACGTGAAGTAGAGAAATGCTTGGAAGCTTTGAAAATAATTGATTTCAGACATGTAATCCTGTTGCTATTAACTCAAAAAAAAACGTTTCTCTTTTACATGATAATGAGAATTACAAGTTTTGAACGATGAGGCTGATGAGGCATTTGTTCTGGGGGAGAGGGAGCAGATTCTGCAAGGCTTTTGTAGAATTCAACCCCTTCATTAGGACAAAGCTATTGGTTTATTTTTCTTTCTTGAAGTGACACACAGCTATTAAAATGTCCTTTAACAAATGTACTCAGTGAAGTTGTACCTGACATGTTGGAGCCAGCCATGATTCCAGTGCAGCCGTTGAACATGACAGCGAAAACTCCAGCGAAACTCATCATGGCATCCGTGCTGTAGTCTACTGTGTAACCGGCTAAAGGAAGTAAAAAGGAGTTTGGATCATTTTTACAGGTCAGGGATCACAAGAATTTCTGAAATGTTGGGTCAATAATTCATTTATTGTATCTACTTGAATTGATCAAAGTCAATTAACAAATAAAATCCGGTTCTGTGAAAGGTTTCTTTTACAAGTTAAACCCATTTTAAATAAGTTTAAAAATATCAGCACCTATAAAACTCCCAACCATCACATGTGACAGCATGTGCAGCACTCACAGAACAGGTTACCCTCCAACGTGTGCAGCCGGAAGCCGGTATAATTGGCGGTGCTCATGCTGGTGCTGTTTAGAACGGAAGTATCTGGCAGAATCACGCCAATGGGCCCCACGGTGAAAAAACTAATAAAGACAGAAGCCAGGGCTGTCACGACTATGATGAAGATAATGAAGGCGGCTTTGGCGTAGATGTGCGCTCCCACCTGTAATGACAAACCTGTTAAATTTAGCAGCTAATGACGCAGATAATACAATTACAATTCATACAATTACAATCTTCCCTCCATTTGTATAAGATTAGCTGACAGAAAAAAAGCCTCTTATTTTTAAAAAAGAATGACATAAAAAGACAACGATGAAGTCTCACCAAACAGACAATGAAACAGAGGAACAGCAGGACAGTGCTATAAAGCAGAGACCACCAGTATCCTGAAGGCAACACGTGATGGAGACCTGCAACAGCTGCAACACCCTCTGAGGGACAGTAAAACAGATTGAAATATCCATAAATTCAAACGGCAAGGTGTCTCATCATGCGGTAATGGACTACCTTTTGGGACTCCAAAGGTAGGCATGATGGCCTCAACCAAACCCAAAATGTAGAGAGCACTACCGCACACATTGGCAAGGAAAAACATGATGCCAATGCTGCCACCAAACTCCGCACCCAGAGCTCGGCTGATCATGTCTGGAAATGCAAGTTGAGGAATTTTTGACTTTACGTTCATACGAGCTAAGCATAAAAATGGCTAACCGTCAACCACCGATCAGAACAGCACCGAGGGGAACCTGGGCCATTAGTGGATAAAGCAAACCATGGGGAAACATTAAGAATAGGGACATTTTTTTCCCCCCTCAATCCATTAGTCAGGCTTAATCGCACACAGAAACCCAAGTGAGGCATTAAAACTACCGCATTAGTCTCTCTCAGCAATAAAAGGATACAGTAGGCACCTCCGGCATCTAAAGCCCCATTGGTGGAGATGGCACAGACGGAAAGCACGGTCATTGTGATGATGAAGTAGGCCACCAGAAACATGGCAATAGACTGGTACAGCCCTGCCTGACCCACAACAAACCCTGCAGGAAGTAGGAGGAAATCTTTTATTTATGTGTTTAATTCTAACTCAGGCCTTTAGCATTACGTACTACAAACAGCTCTACTCCAGTTCCTACAATACGGACACGACAGGAGGGTAAAAGTTCAGCTGAAATTATTTATTTAATAATTGATGGAAACAACTTTGAAAAATCTACTAAATTGGAATTTCTCAAGAACATTTGTTGCTTTCCTAAATTTGAGAATTTGCCGCTTTGTTTTACCTCGAAATCTTCACACTCTGGATAGTTCACTACTACTTCAAACAAGCAAAGGGAGATTTTTATCAATTTAATTCATTTTTTGTTATTGACGAACCAAGTAATTATTTTCTCCTTAATTGAAAGATTCAACAACAAATTTCTAAATAAAAATTGGTGAGTTTCCAAATAGGTGGCGACAATTTTCACCCCTGAAAACCAAGAAAACAGAAAGTGCATCGTCCCTAGTCTCCTTAGAGAGACACCTGTGGGACACCTGCATAGCTTGACACAAAGCATGTTGTCATGAAGACCTGCAGCGGCCAATGAAGCAATGGGCTAGTGAAATGAGGGTAACGCTGTACGCTTTTATTTTTGCAGGCCACAATTGCACTATGCCTTACATAAACAGCGTTTTCTAAACTGCATCCTGTACTGAATTTGCTTATTTTACCTGAGTCCTGTCAGTCATCTTGGTGAAATAATTTATATTTCCTGCTAAAATCTGTTACCTCAAAAATCATACTTTTCCATTTTCACAGATTACTAAACAGTATATGTTGCTAATTTTGTTTAAATGAATGAAATAAACCTCCATATGACCTTTGTTTAATCAACAAATTAAGTCTGTATAAGTACATAATGATATATATAACAAAACAAACAAACAAGGCTTATTTGTACTGTCAAAATATTACACTAGTGTAACTCAAAACCACATCTTTTGGTTTCCCCAGATCAATAAAATGATTCAATACTATTTAAAGATCAGATTTAGATAAACTTTATTGGTCCACAAGGGAAATCGTTTAATCACAGTAGCAAGCACAAAATAAATAATTATTATATAAGAATATACAAAAAAAGCAAGCAGGGGAAAAAAAAGAATACAATACAAAAATGTCCATATGTACAATTTTACAATTCTTCGTTCTTGTCCAAGTAAAGAAAGACAATTAAAAAAAGAAAATAAATACTACTGTAAACACTTGTGCAAAAAACACGAGTGGATGATTAGCGTGTTTCTTTATTCTTCCTTTTTTTTTTTTTGAATGAACACAACAAGTTTGGACCTATTTAATATTTTGGGGGGCAGCTAGTATTTGCACATTGTGGAAGATGTTATGATTTTTTATTTAATTATTTTTTAGACGATATGAACTGTATCCGGTGCTGACTACCTGACCTCCTGTAACAGCGGCTCCGTTCGTGCCACTAGCATTTAGCTCGGGTTAGCATTACCCACCTGTTAGCATCGACTCTCCCCGGGGGCCAGGGCAGGGTTTTTTTTTTTTTTTTTTTTTTTTTTTTTTAAGAAAAAAGAAATTGTATATTATCCTGTTGTAATTTTTGCTTTAGTACTTTTACACTCGCTCTCTCTTATACTCACCAATTCGCAGAAACACAACGACGCTAAACATGGACAGTAAGGTTGGGATGACCACCCCGAACACCACTCCGAGCTTCCGGTTGGTTTGCTCCTCGGCCTCTCGGTCGTCTTTGCCCATGGCGTGTTTGGGCACGTCGGTGTTCTCCGGAGCGGGACTGGTGGTGAGTCGGTAATGTAACAGGGGAGTTTTTTCTGTCATGTTAGATGCCTGAGTGATTAATTAATGCTAACTGCTGCTGTTGCCTCAGCAGAAGAGGCGCTCTGCCAGCCCGGCCTCTGCTCTGCTACGATGGTGAAGCTCGCAGCCGCCATTAACCCTCTGCACGCGCCCCGCTCCCCTGCGGCTGGTCATCACCTGCTGCTAATTGGGAAAGTGACGTGGCTTCCTGCTATTGGCTTAAGTGACCAGGTAGAGCTTCACCTTCATATCTCAGCTCGTTAGTTTAGTCAGGTCAAGTGGCTTTGTTACATAACACAACAGAAGTATTTAAAAGTGTGATTAAAACACATGTTCACAAGTTTAAATATTAATTTCAAGACCCTATTCTGTTCTATGCTATATAAATGTACCCGATTTATTTAAATATTTAGGCCCTACAATATTATATATATATTATTCAAATGAATCTAAGTTCAACACTAAAGTTAGAACCCCACACTGTTATTTGCTATATAGGCTTACCTAACTAAATGAGACCTTAGAAAATTCTATATGAAATACAAATTTATCTGACTTGTTCACATTTTGAGGTTAAGACCAGAGACTATTTCTTGCAATAGAAATTCACCTCATAATTTAAAATATTATAATTCGACCCTACAATAGTATATATAGAGTACAAATATACAAAGTATTAATTTTAAGACTGTTCTTCATTATATAGTATGTAAATTTGCCTGAAAATGGAAATATTTAGACTCTACAGTATTATATATATAAAATGCAAATATATGTAACAACCTACACTATTACATATAAAATCCAAATTTACCTGACTGGTTTAAATGTTAAGGTTGAGACCCTTCACTATTATTTACTATATCAATTCACCAAACGAATTTAAATTGAAAGGTTAAGACCAGGCAGTTTTATTTATTATACCTTTGTACTAGAGCAGTTTAAATATCAAAGTAAAGATCATACAATGTTGTGCTACATAAACTTACACAAACCTTTTGTTATGAATCAGACAGTTTATTGCATATGAGTTATACTGTAAAGCTTCTATAACATAGCCAGCTTTGATAGTGTTGCAAAAATTATTATCTTCAGTGCAAAATCTGACCATTTCGGCATAGAGAAATTGGCAAGGACACCCAGATTTCCTGTGTTGAAAAAGCAATACACAGGAAGATACACACCTCTGCAGCAGCAACACATTTAAAATAAAACTGTAAACAGGAGTACGATCTAAAAGTGTGATTAGATTCATACCGGAAAGGTATTGCAGTATGTTACAACAGTCTCCATTATTCTTAACTAAGTGCTTTTATATGCAGGAAGTTTTTTTTTTTATAAATCAGGTAATATGCAAGGACCTTCTAGCAGCATTAGCATAATGACTACTTTGCAAAACCTTTGAACCACTGATTAAGGAGCAAAACAAATCTTGCATGAAAATGTGAATCCAAACAACCAGGTTGACTTTTTGCTTGTGGCCACATGATCAGGCTGGACAACAACCTCCGACGGGAGATGAGCGAGTTGGATTTGAATAATTGCACATGGATTAGAGATTTGGAGAAGCTTGCTGCAGGCTACATCAAAAAGCTACGTGCCATTTGGAAAATCGTAGGCTTGGTTTTACAGGCCTACAATCACATTTAAAACTTCACTGCTTCCATGATGATTGACACAAAAAAGATCACCTTACTATGATACATAAAGTTATCAGTGATGCTTACCATAGCAGGGATATTGTTGCCCCTCTCTCTACTTCTTCAGCTTTAGTCTCACAGAAAAGGATGCATTTCTACTTTTATGTGAGCCTACAAATCATGCAGTACAAACACAGACTCTTCACAAGTGAGAATTTTGGGGAAAGGAGGGAAGATATATCGTTCCATCCTGCTGTTTTGCTTTGAGGCACTCCTTCTTTTACTGACTTGGGGCTCCAGAAGTGATGAACTCAACCTCCATTCTATGAAGAATTGTTATGTCACTGAGAAGTGCATCCATCTTCCAGGTTAACCATCAAGTGCTCCAGCTTGCCTGAGATCAGTTGGCTGTAGCTCAGCAGGACGGTTCTCACACTCTGGGTGCTTCGAGGAACACAAGATAATGATGGAGACATCACTGACCCCTGCTGGTCCAAACAGAAATCACAACAATTATAATTGTTCAAAAAAAAAAAAGGATAGAAGAAAGATTTTACCTGGAAACCAAATCACTTTCAAAAATGTCTTTGAAGAAATCTGCATAATTAACCCCCCAAAATGAGATTTATACGTGTGTGTATATCTCACATCTTGTACTTGTGACTTTTGAGAATGACTTGTCTAACTAGGAAAGTATGCACTGCTATCTTCCTCTTGTTCTTAGGAAGGAAGGCTCGAGGTCACACAGCATTCCATCATCACTCCCAGGGCACAGATATTCCAGAAGACCACAGATTTATGAGAAACCAGGATATTGCCACAACAGAGGAAACTGATAATGCCTCTGAATCTGATGCAAACCAGTGAGAGAGAAGCCCATCAACATGTGTTCACTCACAACGTGTGAATTTTCATCAACGCACGACGTGTCGGGATGTGTTTGTGTATGAATAACAAAGACAGACTGAGGCCAGTCGGCTCCGATTTGGTGTTCTGCACGTTGGAAAATCAAAAGTGAAAGTTTCTAAGAAGCACATGCTGTTTCAAAAACACTTCATTGTCTACACTTGTCCATATTTAGGACTTACGTAACAGTGAAAGATAGCTTTTTAAACTGTGATGTGTTTGCAAGACAGACATTTTGTAGTCAGATTTCCAGCTATTTTAATGCTAGTGTGTACTTTGATCAGCAACTCGGTGCTTACGGTGAGCTTGTTTGCATGCAATTTATCGCTGTGGCTGCTTCTTACACTCAGCTGAAGGTGTGTGAGTATGAGCAGGTAGTTGTTGATGTTGTTCTCCAGCCTCTGCAGTAGCGTGGCTTCACATCCTGCCTGTCTCAGGGCCCTTACACCCTTTACACCCTCATTAAGAAGCCTCAAGGATGCCACTATGTCTCCTCTCTTCTCCTGGTCCTGCAGAAACACACAAACACAGAAAAATAAGGCAAGTAGAAAATGTGTAACTCAAGATAAACTACCCGAAAAACAATTAAACAAGTGGTAAATCCACAGTGGCAGAGGATGGATTCATACACGTGCCAACGTACTGATTTGTTTTCCCAGGATGCTATGTGAAGCTCGGTGCAAGGTAGCTGAACAGGTGTGGAGAGAGTCATCGATCCATTACAGTTACTCTGCAAAGAAGGAGATGCGGAAAAGACAGATGACAGAAGCCAGACGGACAGACTGATGGGCGACTATAGGTAAGAACAAACAGTCAGAAGGATTAGATACAGTATCCCAGGAGGAGGCTGAGAGACGAAGTAACGTCAGGAAAGTTTATCTCAAAGCCACAGACGGTCGTATCCTCACCAGCGCATTGTTCATCTCTGGCACAATATTCAAAGCCCTCCTGGCAACTCTATTACACACAAACTCTATGGATTTGGTCTCAGCATCCCACACCTCAGAGGCTACCACACAGAGCAGCAGGAGTCCTGGAGGAACCCATAAACAGAGTGTGAAGCTGAGGCTCTGCCGTCCAGTTTCTAACAAGTCCGTTAGTATAGTCATAAATTAAACAGTTCAGACTCAGTACTCACTGCTTAAAGCCATGCCCTGCTCGCCCGCTCCTGATGAGTCCACATTTGTTCCATTAAGAGATATGCCAGGTGGAAAATGCCCTCTAGTGTCTCATAAAAAAAGGAGCTGGGTGTCCTTTTTGTCTTCTCACCACTTGATTTCCCACCTTCTCATTCAGTAGTGGGAAGTGCGAGTGTTATCTAGCCTGAGAGCAGGATGCACTCCAACTTCTCTGCCGCGCAGCTTAGCAAAATGTTAGAGTCTGAAAATGGCATTTCATTGATATTTGCAGGACTATTTTGCTTCTTGTTTGGTTTGGTTTTCAGGGAATAGCGTGGTTGCTGACCAAAAGGTTAATGATTTATGATTGTGATAGAATCCATGTACACAGCTGGCATCAAAACCACTTCTGCTGGAGGACATTTACTTAATTTTTTGTAGTCCAGGTTTGCTCTGGCCAATAGGAACAGCAGCTGGGGGTACATATGATTCTCAAAACTGTCGGAGGGAGTTTCATGGCCATGCATGTGGGTGTGTGTAAGCACTGTGGGTGTGTAGCCTGTGTGTGATGCCTTATCAGTCTGACATAATGCATGTACGTGACTCAGAGTGTTTATAGCATTTCAGACACCCACTAGTCAAAAAATGTCAGTGTAGCAGCAGATTGTTTTTAGATTTTGGTTCACAAAAGCACACAAAAGGTCCAAACTATTTTTTTTTTTTTCAAATGTAGTTTCTAACTTCTGTTTAAAGGATTTCACTTTTTCCCATGTATTCTAATAGACATGTGGGCTTTGCAGGCAGGACAAGGTGACATCACTGCCAACGTAATTACCCATCCCGGGATCGTTTAATGCCCTTATAGGCTGTATACATCACCCTGGAGGAGAGGAAAAGCACTGTTTTCCCGGATACACGCAGTCATCCATCGTGTTGTAATGCCTGGGGGTCGCAGCTGGAGGACGCGGTGAATCTTCAATTCAATTGCCATGTGGGGGGTTAAAGAGCTATAATAGCTGTCAAAGACATAGATAAGAGAAAACAACAGGGAATGCACCATCCATCCTCATTTGCAGACACACGTGCTGATCCCCATCACCTCAGTCTGGACAGTGACTGAGCCCCTGCCCTCCTCAAAGCGGTTTTTATTGCGTGCCATGATTAAGACGCATAACGCCTAATATTAGACCTTAAAGTGTTGGTGCATGTGTGGTGTCACACACAAGGGGTGAGGGAGAGAGAGAGTGGGAGAGAGAGAGGGGGACGCAGACAAAGAGCACTAAACATATGTTCCGTTTTTTTCCCCCCCTCTCCAAGCCTCCTCCAATTTCTGCAGACAATCCTGTTCACCGTTAATTAAGACGAATGCGCGCCACGGCTCCGCAGATAATGACCGGAGCGCCTGGATTTGTGCACACGAGGAGAAAACTGCGGGCCGTAGCGCTGACGGTACCCGCATTGCATCACGGACACGACACCCGGTACCCCGCTGTCTCCCTCCCACCTCAACAGGAGCCGATGAGGAGACCGTAGCATCTTATCATAGAGTTTCTGTGACTCGCAGCCGCATGCAGCCGCGCTCTCGGACCGCTGGCTGTTGTCGCTCAGGGTCTCCAAAGCCACCCAGCAGCTGCCTGCTCCGCTGTGCGCCGCTCCGGAGGCGCAAAGCCGGTAATTACGCGCCGTGTTGACAACTTTGGCGCGGTGCTGTAGCCTATGGATTGCGCATCAGCAACAGGCCAGTTTCTGGGACCTGCTGAGATTTCCCTCCGGTCGGGTGAAGTGTGATTCCCGAGAGTGATCCGCTGCCAGATCGCATTATCGATTAAGCGTGCGCTGCAACCTGTAGCTTGTGCGCCTCTTTATTTCAGTCATTATTCCCGCTAAGGCGCAATGGAAGGACGCAGCTGACGGTTTTGAATCCGTAGCCAGAGGAGGAGAGAAGAAGAAAAAAAAGAGAGGAGGAAAGCAGCCCCAAAGGAAACCGTGAGTATACTGCGCCCTGACAGGTTGGATAACTGTCTCTTTTCTCTCTCTCTCTCTTAACTATCAAATCCATGCGTCTATCTCCCCAACTTTGTCTATATCCTGCTCAAGGGCAAATGGTAATTGAAGGTCTGGTTAGGTTGTGTTTTGTTTGCCGGTCGTCTGGTTTCGTTTTTTTCTTTTGGCAATTTTTCTGCAGTTTGTGTATTTTGTGCCAGGTGCAGCTACCAGGAATAACCGAGAATTGAGAAACTTGCCACGCAAACCAGAAAGGGGCACAGGTGGTTGTACATCTTAATGCTGCGCACGAAGGACTCAAGGTCCTTGTAGTATTGTATAGCTGCATTACAGTAAAATATCTGTGTGGGAAAACGCACACATGCACCCCAAATATGTCTGGTTCAATTATTTTCTCTGTTATTAATTATTAAAAAACAACTTTCCTAACAATGGCACACAGTTAATTTAGAAATACACAAAAGTAAATTAAGCCTTCACTTGATTTTGATCACAGCCACATGATGCTTTAACCATTTCTTGCCAAGGTGACTATATCTCATGCTTGTTCATCATGTGGATGCTGAGCTCTTTCAGACAAGAAACCCACTGATCTTTGTCTTCAATGTCACACATCTTGTTTTTCCTCTTGTACTCTGGTGTCACACTGGCCTCCACGCACAGGTGGTACATTTCTTAAAAAATCCAGTGGAGATGGAGAGATATGGGTCAGTGTGCTGGTGCTTGGGGCTGCAGAGCACCCAGTTCCTCTGCTGTCGGGGCCGCGATAGCCTACCTCTGCTTGTCTTATGGCTGCCAACTCCCTGATAACACGAAGCTGGTGACACTCATTACCCTCAGTTACCTGAGAGGGACATGATGTAGGGCCACGCTGAGGGCCGGAGGTGCTTGTGAACACGGAGCGTATGAATAATGGGATTTGTGGGTGAAAGTGTGTGTTTGTGTGGATGTGGTTTTTTTTTGGGTGAAGTCACTCAGTGGTCTCTGAGGCCCTGGTTCATTCTGGTGCCTGTGGTCCAGTGCTTTGAACTGGTTGCCTTGCCGACAGCCAATCAGCAGCAGCCTTACGCAGGACTGTTTTATCTGTCAGCCAGTCAGAGGCCTCGACTCCCGGAGGAATTAAGTCTTTTAACCTGCAAAGGATCAGAGAATTTGATATTCAAATGCATGCTGGCCTGTGACCAGTTAAATTGGTTAATGCCATGCCATCAGTTGAAAGCGTGAATTCATCAGTGACCTGCTGCTGCGGTGGCACGGTGTCGTAACAATGAGGAATGAGACGGGTGACACCGCTGGCTTTGTCCTGTGAAAGTTCTGAACACCTCAAAATATAAACTTCCTGAATCTCCCATCCAATTGAAGGCGCATTGGCAAACATGAAGGGGTGTTTTTTTTTCTGGCTCCTGTCAAAGCAGCCGTGAATTCTTGGAACAGTGGTTATCTTTCAGGTGTGGGGCCCACTTGGCACCACTTCTTTCAGCGCAATAGATTTCACTGCCAGTATGTAGCACCTTCGAAAAGCCTTTAGTGAAAGCCCAGAGAGATGAGCTCTCACAGTATGATAATACATGTGTCAACTGAGAAAAGGAAATGATCTGAGCGTGTAGCAAGCCTTCATGTGTGAGCTTTTAGCGTTGGATACAAGCTCGCCTGAGAAGAGCTTCGGCAAGTGCACGCTGACATATACACACAGAGCAGTTTTATGACACATGAGAGGAGCGACGCACGGTCACACACACTCAACGGGGGATTGTTGTGGTGCCCGTGAGCACTGCAACTCACTGCACAATTGCCCCTCGTGGAGGTGTTTGGCGGCAAGTATCTGAAAACTGTGGTTCTCCTGTGTGAAATAAACCGGAGTATGAGGCAATGCATAAATTCTAACTAAATTTATAGTAGCCAGATGCACACATACACACAAACAGGGGCCAGATTAAAGGAAATATAAAGTTTCGTAATAAGGTGAAGGACCTGTATACGCTTCTGGATCAAACTTAGTGCATCTTTGCGTAGATTGTAGAAATCTGTGAACTACGAGAACACCAACCTGTCGGGTGATATTGTGTAGTGTGGTGCACTGATGATAACATTGGAGAGCACTGTGTAACACAGTTCTCCATTATTGTGTATCTGGGATCAAATCTTGTGATTTTGGCCCCGATTGCTTAAATTCACATACATCAGTAGAGCTGCAATGAGTAATCAGTTTGTTATCAACTCTTTAACTAATATTTTGCTTATCAGTTAATGAGTTTAAGTTATTTTGGGGAATAAAATCTCTGATTCCAGCTGCTTTAATTTGGATATTTTCTGGTTTCTTTCCTCGTGTTGGACAGCAAACTGAATATCTTTTGGTTGTGGACAAATCAAGACATTTGAGGACGTCATTTTGGGATTTTGGAAATGCTGATTAACGTTTTTCACCATCTACTGGCATGCTACGGACTAAACAAATAATCTATTCATTGATAAAATAATTGAAATGTCATGAATGGAACGGAAGTAATCGTCAGCTGCAGACCTCAGAACATTTTGGGCCTCTCATGCATGAAGGCGGCGGCGCTGAAATGATCGACAACATAAGGTTTTTGCTTTTATTTGTAATCTGATTGTGCGTGCTTCTGTATATTGTCTTTATTTGTCTTCTTGATAAAGTGTCAGTAAATGCCGCCGTCACTGGTGGAAGAATGAACGGAGCCCGACGGAGAGAGAACAAAATGTGAGAAATGTTTCCAGCCTTTACATTCTGTTCATTGTTACAAGAATCCATCATCCAGTAATCACTTACACTCTCCCCTCCAGATCCTGAGTGTGTATGGGCTTCATGCTTCAAAGAGACAGAGAATTACTGTCATTATTGCAAAGATTGCATCAACGTGAAAATGTTTTACATTTTAAAGGGACAATTCGGCTGATTTTGGCAAGTTCAGTTTAATTGTTACGGAGAGCGCCGCACAGCCTGCGAGAACAGGGGCTTGTTTTCTGTGACTCTCAGAGGAGCTCTCTAAAGTCTGAAAAAAAAATCACTGAGATGATGTTATCAGGGTTATCTTACGTTATGCTTTGAGATTTATAACAGAAAGTCTGCATCATAAACTGAGGCTGCCCCTCAGAGGATGTCGGGCCTAATTAAATACACTAATGAGTTGCTTTGTAGGAAGCATGACTCCAGCTTTTTGAACACAACCCAAACATGCTTCAATCTGTAACCACTTCTCTGTACACAAATGGGTGTAGTAGTTTATTCTAATCTACCTATTCTGTTTAGCACAACGTTTTTGTTCCATCACATTGCATCTCTGCAACAGAATGGACATCATGAAACAACCAAGAATGCACAATATTGGAAGTGATCCTGGGCAGATGGAGAGCGGTCAGGACAGTCAGTATATGACACACTCCTGCAACGTAGAGAGTCGATGAGGTTGTCGACGCTGCTCGTGGAACGTTGCCGCGCTCTTCCTGAAGGGCTCTGTGAAGTTAGTGGACACTCTAATCCATCCAGCGCACCGCTTGGCCAATTGTCTGTTGTGCCATGTTGTCCGAGATGATTACTTGGACGCCGAACGGCGAAGCTTTGGACATGCAAGTGTCTGGAGTGAGCCCAGGCAGCATCCAGCAACCTGTTCTCGTATTTCTCTGGTTGTCTGTGTGGCATCGGGTCATTTGAATAAAGCTGCATTTGGAGGCTACAGTCACTGGTCACGCTATCTGATTATTGTTCTTTAAAGGCAGACCGGACTTGGATGTAGATTAACCTAATGATTCAGAGTGTGTCACCACTTGGACAGCTCAGAAGCTTTTGGTGCACAATTTCTATTATATTCAACAACAGAAATGACATTTTTTAAAACTTTTCTCCAGAAATTAAGACCATTTGCATGCTGCCTTTATATTTTCAAGTGTAAATTTAAAAAGCCTTAATGAGAAATCAATGACAGAAATTACAAACGTTTTTAATGAAGCACTGGAGCCACTTGTGCTTCTTCTGTTCCGGGACTGAAGTGGAGTAATGAAGGTTAAAGAGCCATTGTCGCCCATCAGCTCACTTCCACCGTCAATGAGGGCTGCAGATAATGAAACACAGATGAGATAAACGTACTATGGAGTCAAATATTGCCCTGACTACGTCTCTTTGTTCAAACGGACAGGCTATTGTAAGGTTTTCCTTCCTGACGTTGATGGAGCCATAAATCTAAGCCCACCATTAGTCATCACACTTGATCAATCCAGCGATGAGTCAAAGCAGAGGACGGCTGGAATACCACGCACAAATAATAATAATAATGATAATAATAATAAAAAGAGATGGCACGTTATAATTTGCCCAAACAATCACTGAGTGCACCTGCAGCAGCTTTCGCACAAAAAAAAAGCACTTAAAACATCACCAAGTCCAGAAAGTCCAGAGAGAGAGACAAGCAGCTCGGTGATCGTGGAGGAGGGAGGCGGTGTTTCTCAGTCCGACCGCACCAGCGCTGCTCCTCTCTGCTGCTGATGCTGCTGCTGCTGCGAGCCGACAGCCGGACTCTGGACGCTCATCTGGCGCACAGCGAGGCGGCGACGCTGCTCGGCATCATGCAGGAGGACTCATGATCAGAGACCTGTTACACTCTTTGCACATGTGATGGCAGGCGGGTCCTCCTCCTCCGCAGATTAATTATCGCGCTCCCTGAGTGGCTCGGATTTGGCGTCTTAATGAGGATATTGCGACAATGGTGAAGGACAAGGCCGAAAACCGGACGCTTCAGTACCAGCAAACTTTGGTGAGTTTCGGATGAGGTCATAGATGATGTTTTCAGTCATGTGTGGGGGCCTTTTTTTTTTTTTTTTCCCTCCCTTCAATGCTCCGAGTTCCTGCAGTGGAAAAGGCTGGAGGATGGGAGACACAGCTGCTGCCTGCTCAGCTGTGTCCTGGAGGAGGATAGGAGGAGACTGTGCAGCTCTTGTGTTCAATATTACAATGCAAAACCAAATCAGATACCCCTCTCACTATATATTTACATATATATGTATACACTGAAAGGTTAAAAGTCTTTCGGTGAGCTCTCCCTCCCGTCAGCTCCCTCCTTGATCCACAGGTGTTGCATCACTCTCAGCCTGCACCCACCCTCATAATTAAATCTTAACCAATTTGGGTTTCACCAAAGCATGTCCGATTAATTTGTTCAGCTTACAGAAATGCACAGTCTGCAATCACTTTACGTATGGCCTAATGGGTCATTATCAAAATGTTAACATCCTTGAAATATAGATTAGCACCCCGGTCTGCCCACTGATCTCTAACGTATTTCACTCACGTCCAGCATTTTGCTTATCTCCTCTACTTGTCCTGCAGATCTTGTCCCCTCTCACCCATTCCTCTGTCATCTTCCTCTCTTGCTAAAGTGCCCCCTTACTCTTGTGAATTAAAAGTGGAATGTTTTTGAATTTTAATTGCCTCATGCACCAGTTTTTCCCCCCTACTCATGTCATTGCAGGACTGACAGTGATGCCCCGAGGCACTTCACACAGGGATAGCTATATTCAGATAAAAGGACACACCGATAGGCAGGCAGTCTGTCTGTCAGGCAGGCAGGCAAAGCAGTGAATTAAAAAGTCATCCCACACTGATTTGGATGTCATTGACTGCACTTGTCTCTAATCTTCTCTCCTCCTCCTCTTTATTTGCACGCATGCATGTGCACGTGTGCGCGCTTGCAGGACACGAGATCTGCTGGTCAGTCCGTCCTCGTGTAGATGCGCCGGGCCCGAGTGTTACAAAGGTGTTTTTCTGCTCCTGTTGGTGTGACGATCGATGCCGTGCTGTGTGTCTCAGTGTAAAGATCAATAGTAATGTGAAATGGCAGTCGGCGTCTCAGAGGGTTGGAACGTGCTGTCTACCTCCTCCGTCTTCTCTGACCAGCGCGCTCAGATCAATGGCTTTATCATTCACTCCCTGAATACCAGTCCATTACCCAAAAATAGATGCATGCGTGCCTTGTGCGTGCCTCCGTACATGCATGCGAGGGTGCAGTGTGTGTCCCGATGCTTCTTTCAAAGTGCAAAGTGGCAGCACTATTCATCAGATACCTGCCCTGAGGTGAAACGTAGCATCTGTGCTCTTCTTTTGGGAAACTGAATGATGTTTAGAGATAGAAATAAAAAATTTGAGAAAAAAGGAAGAAGAAGAAGAAGAAAAAATCAGATAAGTAAAGGCTCTCAGAGTTTCTTGCAGGTGTAGCTGCAGTCTAAAATTGGATTCTAATGTTGACAAGAGGATCCTTTGTGTTTCATTGTTTGCCATCAGCAAGATTCAGAGGATTTTCAGTCATGCGTTTGCTTGGATTCTGGCAGCAGAGGAATTGGTGGCGGAGCAGGACTGAGCAGATGACATGGAGCAGATAGAGGAATATAGAGATCTGTCTGATAACTTCTCCGGGAGGAAGAAGCACAGAAATGTCATCTCTTCATTTATGCTATTGTACTCGAGAAATGCCATTTCCCTCCAGTGTTTATACATTTCTGGAAATAATCTTTTAATGGAGCCTGCGACTGATAGACTGTAGTGTTTACCAACACAATGGGACAAAAATAAACCTTCAATTTATGGCTCCCATTGATGCTGGAGTTGAACAATCGCTGCGCGTTGCTGTGACAATGTGACATTAAGATAAAACGTGGCGGTTATCGCAAACGTGTATAAATGATCCTCAGGACTGAATAATTGATGTAATTATGCCGCAAATGGTCATGTAATGGTCACATTTCCCATTAAAGCGACCATAAAGAAAACAATTTTCTGATATGTAAATGATATCCATTCATGTATTGCGCGCTGATGCAGCACCAGCCTGATTTCTTGGAAACTGCTTAGAAAGCATTTCACAATCCCCACCAACTTCTCTGAGCTCATTATCCAAAGGAAAGAGCAAAACAGAGAAAACAAGTTATTTATAACCATTAAGATATTCACGGGAAAAAAATCTGTGTGAGTGACCTCGCTCCTTTGTTTTAGGCAGCAGCCATTGTTTACTGTGGGGAGATGCAGGAGGGATCCGTAAACAGCGAGTGACAGTTGGAAAGCGACCAGGGTTTGGCGCATGGGTCACTGGCTTCTACAACTGTCAGGTGCACTGCATGCCGGGACAGCGGGCAGCGGCTGTCAAGGCTCCCTGCTGTCTCCTGGGATGGAGGAATGGAGCAGGTAAATTGGAGAAGAGGCAGGTCAGAGACTGCAAAGAAAAGAAACAGAGACAGACGGTATTGTGGTGACTAGGTGCCGAAGTGTTGCAGCCTTCCATCTGAAGCCCTTTCAAAAGCTTTTTTCAGAGGTGTGGGTTGTCTCAATGTGTCAGAAGGATCGCGTGTGTGCATGTGTTTTCTCTTTTCAGAAGCGTGGGCAAGTTTGCTCCGTAGGTCCTGCATGTGCAGTTGGTTTATGTGTGGGAGGGAAGGTACTGCACCTACGCTCTTCTACACACACACACACACACACTCTGTTAAGTGAGTGCGTGGTAAGTCTCTGTCGGAGCAGATGTTAGCGACAGCATGCTCATGTCCTTCCAGCAGCAGGAGGCTTGAAGATTTGGCTGTTGCGAGGATCAAAGTCTTGATCCACCTGAGGAGGAAAAGCCACCACCCCCCCCTCACCACAGGGCACTGCAGCACCGCAGAAACACAGCACACATGCTGCCGGTCTCTCTTAAGATATGCATGTGCGTATTTGTTTCTGCTGCACTGACAATCAGGACAAACCAATGACAAGATCTAATGCTCACTCTCATAAATCTCTTTCAATATGTCTGTGGCTGATGAATATTTAAAGCCATACTACTGCAACATTTTTATCCGCACGTGGTGGTGCACCAGAAGAGAATCCAGCCTTGTGTTCTCTCAGTGAGACCAAGTGTCGGGAGCTGGTTTAGCCAATGTGGATTTCCAGACTACAAAAAATCAATATGTGCATCTGAAGCATTTTTATTTCTACATAATGAATACTTGTGCATATATTTAAAGGGTAGGATATAATAGCACATATAGTCTACACATGCAGTTATTTACATACTGTCAGCTTGCACTGTGCAGAAATTAGACACAGAACAGCAGTGAGCAAACGCTGTGTCCACAGAAAACTGGACTCACCAGTGTGAGATCTGTTGCCTCTCTTCTCTTTTGTATTTTCTGTTGTAAAGTGTCACAGACCAGTTGGGTTGGTAAATATGAACATGCTGCTTGCGGTTTGCTTCTGTCACTATGAAGGATTTCTGAGTTTTACGAGTAATCAGTGTTACCGTACCTCTCATTGCCATTAGATGGAACTAGGATATTTGAACAGGATTCACATGTATATGTTGCCGTAGTACACACATGCACACATGCACACACACACACACACACACACACACACACACACAGAAGCGCTGTCTCCTCAGGGGGGTCTAGTTCCTCATAGTCAGCATTCTGTCCGTTCTCCCACACAGAAGCTGGCTTGAATCCATTTCGGGTCCTGTCACTTCCAAATAGTGCTGTTACCTGCACACCACTGAACAGGCCACTGCAGAGGCTGCGGACAGAAAAAAAAAATCTATCTCATTACATTCCACTCTTAAAATAGACCCTACTCATTGCACTGTGTTCGCAAACCAAGAGTATCATTTCAAAAGAGCTTAACGGCCATTGAAAACGTTAGAATCGTTGCACACTTTGTTTAAAACCTCCCAAGAGAACGTGGAGTTAAAAAAAGAAAAGAAAAAAGAAATTGAAGAAATAATGAAGGAAAATGAAAAAACAACAATATTTAACCAACAGCAGAGGAAAATTAAAAATAACAACATGAAATATTTAAAAATGTAGATAAAATGATAGAACAAAATACACAACAGAAGTATTTCTAATGCAGAGCAGGACTTTTAGAGTTATGATGGACTTGTGTGTTATATTATTGTTCTCTTGCTGCTGCTGACAAGTATCATATCGTTGATGGATGAGCATGTAGTAAGGTGTCCTAATGCTGTAGCTGATTGACGTGGAGATAATTTAAGGTACTTTACATTTTGATGGATATTTGCTGCATGCCGTTCTGATCTCTTTACCTGCATTTCTTATGTATCGCTCTACTGCAACTATCTGTTAAAGGCCAAATGCCAAAAATAAAGATAAATAAAAATCTACTGAGTAGCTTGTAGCTGTAGTTAGAATTTGAGCTGATTTTATTGTTTTCGTTACTAAATAATCTGTCAATTCTTTCCTTGCTTAAAAAAATATACAAATCTAATCTGCAAAATATCAGAAAATAGCAAAAAAAAAAAATAGCTTAGCACAGCCAGAAGCTTGTTTTAGTCACATCGACAATTCGGCAAAGAAAAGCGGCTCACATTTAAAAATCTGGAGCCACAAAATGACTCAGATAATTAATTCATTATAAAAATAGTTGCCAATTAATTTTCTGTCGAGTGACTAATCACTAAAGGCAGTAGTTGGTTCAACTGCTGTCAAATGTAGAAGACAAATGTTGTATTAAATAGTCACATTAAGCGGACTGCAGCTCAGCAGGTAGAGCAGCTCGCAGGTTGTCCATTAACTGCAGGATTGGCAGTTCAATGTCAAACTATCCTTCAGCAACACGCTGTTGACCCCAATTGTTCCTGATGGAAGACGCTGTCATCCTGTGCGTGAACAGGAAGCGTCGTGGATATACAAAACGCAGGGAAGTACAAAAGTGTCACAATAAAGTGGAAATAAATGCAGCGCAAGTCCCTCAGAATTGTATTTCAGTGTTTATAATTGGACGATTTAAAGTCAGTATAGAGAAGTAACAAACACGCTCTGTATTTGTCACACCACAGAAAAATGTGCTGTTAAGCACTCTGCCAAATTAAGCATTTAAACCTGGCAACAATACAACAGTACAACAATTAGTTTTACAGATCCCTCTTAGAAATTACCCTCCAATGAGTGTAAGTTGCCAGATTTCAGCAGGACAGAACGGATGATGACTGGAGAGGGAGATAGCTGTTCAGCCCCATTCAGTAGCAAATGAATTACCCGTGAATCCCACTAATGAAAGTTTTTCAAATTAACAGGTGTACAATGGTGTAGCAGAAACAGGTTGGTGGTGATTCTCAGCTCTCCGTCAATGTGGTTCTTCTCAAAAGGAATCCAGTAAGAAGACCTTGACATCCCCAGAGCCAATGGTCACCATGACAACGCAGCACAGCCGACCCCTGCACCTATCCCTGCAGGTGGTAGACCCTCCTGGGTAGGTGCTTTGTGCTATTTCTTTCGGCTGTGGATGAAGGTTCGGCCACCAGACGCTCAGTGGTGAGGTCTCCTCCCAGGTCTGGCTCCAGGACGGAGCCCCAGTCTCTCTCTATTCCAAGTGAGGTGTCAAAGTTCCATCTTTGCCAAGTCAGAGGGGTCTTTAAATAGCTCTTTGTCTGGCACCTCCCCAAGGATCAGTTTGCTCTGAGAGATCCTACCAGAGGTTGTTGTCCCCAGCAACATAACTCCATGGATCACAGGGACACACAAACCCCTTGACCGTGACAAGGTGGCGATTTATTGGGGGTCTGAGTTGGACGGCTTTCCATTTACCAGCCCTCACCTATGGTCAAGACCTCTGGGGCGTGACTGAAAGAATGAAGTGACGGATACATGTGGCAGTGACCCCTGTACGATGGCTGGGCTGAGCCTTAGAGATGGAGTGAGGAGCTCGGACATCTGAGGGGAGTCGAGTCGCTGCTCCTTTGCATTGATAGGAGCCAGCCGAGGCGGTTTGGACATCTGATTAGGATGCCTTCGGGGAGCCGTCCGTTGGAGGATTTCCAGGTACGTCCTACCTGGAGGAGATCCCAGGGGAGACGCACATTATCCTGGAGGGATTACATATCTCATCTGGCCTGGGAATGCCTCAGGATCCCCCTGGAGGAACAGGAAAATGTTGCTGGGAGAGGGACTGCCCCGCTTAAGACCAACGCATGCTTTCCACGTTTGCACCTCATCCACAAGGGTACGCATGACCTAAATTTTGTCATCTACCTAAATCAGCAAGGATCTGCGGGAGACTGTTTGCAACACAAGCGCACTAAAACAAATGTTTGATCTGAGGAGCGAACGTGACAGAAGATAATTAACAGTTTGTTGGTTTGTTGTTAGTTGGAACTGAAGGAGTATCCGGAGCGGACTTCGGCGGAGCTTTGGTTGATGCAGACTTTCCGTTGGCGGGAAGCTCTGAATTCTCAAGAAATCCTGTCTGACCAGTGTGCTTGAAACACCTCAGGAAAGAACACTGACACAGTTTTACAGCTCAGTCTGCAGGTAGCTGGTATATCCTGGTACGAATGTGCGTTCTTCTGTGTTCAATATGAGGGGACGATACGACTGCTGTATGAACAGAGCCGAGCTTTTAGCGTCTGTGGCCGCAGAATGAACCAAACCCTGGATAAATGGAGGAAAATGAATGAAAATGGATGGGTGGAGATTGAGCTGTTTTGCAAATTGTGGCATCCAGAGAAGATGCTGGGTAAAGACATAGCTGGCTATTCGACTACAGGCTGCAGTAGATGTATTAACCTGTCTTTAAGCATGAGAGCCACTGATGCATTCGAGTCTTATAATGTTAGTACTGGGTGAAGTGGTCATTCAAAACATGGTTTCAGTTGTGCATCATTTATAATTTCATTTTTTAGAGAAATTGCCTGCCTATAAATGCCTGAGCTATCTAACTGTCTAACTAAACTCCTATAACATTATATGACTTGTAATGGGTTTAGAAATACATCTCTACATTTAAAACTAATGTGCCTAAATGTACTCTCTTCCCATCACAAAGAAAACAAAAAGTCTTACCAATACCTTTACATGTTGTGTGTTTTACGCTCACAAAACCACAGACAGAGATGTCTTCTTCCTCCCGGTAACGTTCTTTTTTTTTTAAACCTGTTGCAAACATAATCTCTGTGGATGAGTGTCATGTGGATGATATATGCAAAACAAGCAGCTCGCCCCCCTCAAGTCTTTTCCTGACAAGATGTCACTCGCTCTGCTTGATGCTTCTGTCTCCTTAAAATCACCCACGACTCCCTCAAGCCTCCCCCATCCTTTTGCGCCGCTTATTTCTAGCCTGATCGCGGCGCGTCGTGGTGTATTTTCACCTGTCTGGGTTTCGCACACGTGCACAAATCTGCTCGACTGCATCAAGGTTCTCCGCGGCGTACGTGAGTGAGAAGCACTGACTCATGTTCGGCTTTTCTAAAAGCAGCCTCCACTACCTGTGTTAATGCAAATGTAGACGGCGGGATGAGTCAAATTTGTCACTTCCTCCTCTTAATTCAATTTTCAGTCTTCGTCCCTGAAGGGTACAGAGTTCAGATTAGCTCGAGTGCTTTAGTCGTCCTGTTACTCCCCTGGTCTCATCAATACACACTCAGCACGCACTTAAGTAATCACACAGCCACAACAGTATGTAGGAGTTTAAGGGTCTAAAGCATCCATCATTCTCCCTGAAGTGATGGCTCCCTTCACTTTAACAACAACAAAAAAAGAGGAGATTGAAATCAGCTTATGAATATGTATTAATAAAAAGAAGCAAGGATGAAAGTTTTTCGATGTTCAAGCTTTCATCATTAGAGCGTCAAATATTTGTCCTTGCTGCCTCCTCACTGTGAATAAATTATCCTGCGGGGATTTGCTGAATAATAAGGACCTTTTTTAGTTCATCTGTTGTGCTAGGCTTGCACATGGTCCGACTTAGAAAGGTGGCAGAGAGAGTGATGTAGCAGTGAAGTGGGGGGTCTTACGCAGTGGAGAGCTGGTGGGAATGTGGTGCTGTTCTTCTTGTTAGAAAAAAAGCCGGTGGGTGAGCCTGTACAGTAAGCAGCACTGTTGGGTGAAGTGCAAGTTGTAGTAGGGAGGGCTGCAGCTTTTCGTACATACAGACTTGATAATCCGACCCTGAACAATCCAAAAACCTTGCTACATGAACGGAAAATAGCCTTAACATACTGACAGCCTTGGATTGACAGGACAGTAGAGAGAAGGACCTGCAGCAAATGGCCGTGAGCTGGATTCAAACCCACGACCGCTGTGTTGGGGACTATAGCCCCAGTACATGGGTCGCCAGCTCAACCACTTGAGCTATAGCAGCGGCCCAGATTTACTCACCTTTGATGGCAACCAACGGGGCTGTGCACAAGTGTGAAATCCATGTGTGTAGTGTTCTAACAATACACTATAAACAATGAATATTAGCAACAAATGAGCCTTCAAGCATCAAGCCCTCCTCGTATCTCGACCTCCGTCTTGACTATCCCACAGCCTTGAAATCCGACATAAAAGAAGGTTTTATATTTACTGTCGGATTATCGAGTCACGACTGTATTTGGTAGTGATGGGTCAGCTTTTTAAGAAAAAGAAAAAACATATAAAAGAATCGGTACACCTTTCATTACTGAGATTCCCTATTTTTCCAATACTTGTCATGTCTTCCTTTATTTCTGATGACAGACTCAATCCTTCTCGGTATAAAGGAAGCCAGTGTTTACTTTTAATTTCTGGGGAGA